TACGGAAAGAAAGGAGAAGAATATGACACAGAAGAAAGGAGCTAGGGTTTCCGAAGATGCAGAGGAGCTCGCCCACGTTCCATTGCAGGCCATCCTCTTGGCCGACAGCTTTACTCAGAAGTTTCGCCCGATTACACTCGAGCGTCCTAAGGCATGCTTTTTATCTTCTCTTACTTGTTCTTTCTTTTTTATTTTTTAKTTTTTCGTTTCATTGTCTTTCTGGCGGAARATTCTAGTGCTTTTGTTAGATTTTTTGACAAACTGTGGCATTAGTTTTMGTTTCATGTTATTATTCTAAATTGTTTGCTTATTTATTTATTTTATGCTGATGATAGTGATATGATGATCTGGATCATAGTAACACATGCAGTTAAACTTAGTAGCTTCTAGTTAATGGAAAAGAAGACATAGAGTTCAGTTGGTTAAAGCATACATTTAGTAAGTAGGCGGTTTTTGGTTGGAGTTTCTTTGAAGATTCGAGTTGTGGTTGTGATGGATAGTTCAAATTTTAGTGTAAATTCTATATCCAACACTGTGTCCCGATGTGCCCTCGCTGTATCTGGGTAAAGTAACTTTCTGGAACATTTTCTTTATCGGGAAAAAAAGGATAATAAAAACTGATTAGTGAACYTCTAATATGTGGGCAAAACTTGATACATGTAATAAGATGAATTAAGGGGATGGCTAGTGGCTCTTAAAAATAAAGTGATCCCTATTTTTTATTTGCAATAGAAAAGTTTTGTGTTATACCCATATGTACCTCAAGACTTTATAACCCCCAACAGAAAAAGGAARGTTTAGAGAAAACTGATTCTTGAACTGCCCTATACATATACCAGTTACCAGGTTCTTGTATATATGAAATAGTAATGCCCTTACCTCAGCATAGTAAAGTCTTTTAAAAGCGCAAGACGCAAAAAAAGTGTAAGGGTTATTTTGCACCTGAGGCGCAAGGTGTAAGATGAGGAGTTGAGGACATGAGGTGTGATTTCTTTTGAAGCAAGGTACAAAAAATGCAAAGAAATGCTACAAAAATAAAAAATGCCAAAAATTCAGAATATGCAAAATATTAAACACAATATTAATTGAAAATATAAAGAAGTTTTAAAACAAATATTAAAAATAACTATTATCTCAAATTAAAATACATAAATACAACATGTAAAACATATTTAAAATGAAAATTTAAAAATAAAATGACGGCAGCCAACAGTGGAGTGGGAGAAAAGTGATGGCTATAGTTCATGAATAGGTCTTCACCATAAAAAAAGAGCTTTTATTGATATGCAAGGGCTATTTTTGTAATGATTAATGAAAGTTACTTGTTATTGATCATTTTTTTTTCTTTTTAAAAAATTTGATTGGGGTAAAAGTGGAAAGAAAATATCATTTAAAACTTTGGCCTGGATAAAAGAAGAAGGAACTTTGAGCTCCTTTTTCTTTTTCTTGTGTTTTTGGATTTTGCTATTTCAAAAGGTTGGTTATGTTAGGGGTTGCCAAATACTTGAAATCTACATTTTCTTATTTTTTAATGGCTAAAAGGAGAAAAATTCTTTTTAACTGCAATATCAAAATACAGCCTTTGCTGTCTTGAATTGTTTCCTTCTTGAGATTGCTGTCTCGAATTGTTTCCTTCTTGAGATTTTTCACCAAACAAAGCCGCTTCATCCTCCAGCGATCCTTTCCGAGTTTCTTCTTTCTCACACTCCCTGTCAACTTTTATCCATCCTTCATTGATTTCTTCATCCCTTTGCTCTGTATCTCTCCAATTAGATTCCAATTATATTTAGGATTAGGCCTGTCCAGACTATACATGTTCTTATTAGGTCAATTTCTTTCTTTTTTTGTTTGAATTGCTTACCATAAAAGTTTATATTTTTTTTTACCAACTTATATATATATATGACTAATTACTATGAATTATAAATGTTGGAGTTAAGCTTAAGGAATGTGATTGTTTTTTGAGAATTTAATAACAACTTTTATATTATTTGTTTTGATCACAACATTGTATGTGTTAAAAAGTTAATCCTAGTTGTGTTTTTCAGACCAATAATCTATCAAATGAGCTATATACTACTATATATGAATCAAGTTACGTTGGTTTTGATATTTTCATGGATTTTCCATTATTTTTTGAGTCATGTGCCTCAAAATGCCTTGATTGGGCAAAATTCCAATGCAAAACGGGGTCTAAGGGTAGATGTTCAATGCAGGAGTGAACACTTGCCAATCATTAGAGTCTTGATTGGCCATAGTTACTTCTGCATGTAGCATAGAAAGGTGAATTGTCTAGCAAACTTCAATACCTGTACTGTTTTGTTGTTTTGTTTTGGATAGTGGATACTCTTAGAATACCCCTCATTTTATTGTTATATATGTATTGGTATGGTATAGTATTGTATTATATGAAATGTATGAAAACTCAAAAGGTGTTTACATCATCATCCATGTACACTGAGGCACTGTACAGTGGGGATATACGAAAAGTAGACAGCTAAGCCAGTGATTGGTAGGTAGGTACTCTTACCACTGGTCAATATTGCTAATTATTGCATTTTTGCAGGTACTCTTACCACTGGTCAATATCCCAATGATTGATTACTCCTTAGCATGGCTTGAGTCTACAGGGGTCGAAGAAGTTTATGTGTTCTGCTGTTCACATTCCAAGCAAGTAATAGATTATTTGGAGAATTCTCAGTGGATGTGTCAAAAAAACTTTTCAGTCACAACAATAGAATCACATAACTCTGTTAGTGCTGGAGATGCACTGCGATTGATTTACGAGCGAAATGTGGTATGCTGATATTCTTTTTTAGCAATTGTTTCTTGTCTTTGTTTCTCAAGATATCAATATCGTTTTGAAACATTTCAAAAGGATTAAAGGCTTGGTTTTTGGTAGGAACTGGTTATATATTTCTGATGATAGTTAAGACTTAAGATGTATTTTTGTGTTAATGTTTCAGTTGCTTTTTTCCGGGTTCTATATTTCTTGGGTTCTATTGTGTTTAGAGCTCAGGGCAATGTTAAGGTGTTATGTTAAAGCCTCTGAAAGGATGTTTTGATTGCACCATGGTTCACAATATYGACGAAATCTGGTGCAATTTCCCAAAAATCTCCCCATTTTTTTAGGTAGCGACATGGAATTTTCCAAGAATCCTTTTTTTCCTTAATATCTCCGATGTTTTTCCAGTAGGTCTGCGATGTTTCAGATTCCATTGTTAAGTTATACATTTAACGTTTAAAATTTTGTTATTTTATTAGAAACTTTCTAATATTTCTTGTTGTACAGCCAGTAGTTGCACAGGGTCTACAGATTGCCAACCAACTTGGAGTGAACAATTTGATAGTTGAGGGAGACGCTAAGGTGGTAGTGGGATGTCTGTTGGACCCGGATACTGTTGTTTGGGGCTACAGGCATATCCTCAAAAAAGTTAAATGGCTTACAATAACTATGTCAGTTAGATTTCAGTGGGTTAGCAGATCAGCCAATGCTTTTGCTGATTCTCTAGCTAAACAAGGGGCTTCAAGGGTTTCTTTGTTTTGGGCTACTTAAGGGGAGGTAACATCTTGTGCCTCCTCTTAGGGTGATTGTACTATTTCTATCTCCATTTAATAAAAATACCACTCATTCATAAAATAAAGTTATACTTTTCCTCTTCTCAAAAACAATCATATATATATATATATGTATATAAATTTTTTTTCCTAAATGAACAAATGTGGATTTGGTGATTAGATGATTAGTTTATTATATTGGTATGATTCACTTACTAAGTCGCTATAATTTAACAGAAAAAGAAGTAGGAATACAACTACAGAAGGGGGTTCTCAATCTAATCAAAATATATAGTAAGAAAAAAGAAAAAAAAAGCTAAAATGGCAAGTAAGTAAAATACATAATAAACAGAAGATGGCTAAAAGATAAAAAGGGAGATTTCATCCAGTTGATAGAKATGTTCGGAGTTGGTAGGAAGACCTGTGTGTGGTTTTATTAGTTCTTCCTCTTCCTTTTCAGGCTTGAGTTGGAATTTGGGCTTTATTGGAAATCTTAGAGAATCCAAAATTTCTAGTGTTTCCACTCTGCTTAGCTTGTTGAATTCAGTGGTCTTAGGGGATGGTGGTTCTGATTCCAGAGTGTGTTTTTTTTCCTTGCAAGTCCTTTCTGAATTCTCTTGTAGCTTCTTCCCTTTCTCCTTCCCTTTCTCCTTCCTTCCCTGTTAAGGAGATTTGGTCTTGACCTATTCCTCCAAAAGTTAATGCTTTCTGCTGGGAAGTGTTTCATGGCTCCATTAACACTTGTGATTTGCTTCAGAGGAGAAGAATTGAATGCCCATGTTTTTGTCTCAAAACATGTGGACACATGCACACCTATGATACATGTATACCTATGGTCCTATGGAAGGGTGCCATATTTATGGGGAGCCTAGGATCACTCACCACAAGCATGATATGCAGAAAAATTATATAAATATTATTTCAATTATCAATCTCCATGTTTTTTTTTGTCTCAGAACATGTACTTCAGCTCCTTTCTCCACTTCAGCATCTCCTTGGAAAGCAATTCAAGATGTATACCCAAATTTTCTCACTTTTACTCATTTTGATGTGGGAGGTGGGAGTAGAATTCTCTTTTGGTTGGTTGGGTGAGTCTCCCCTTAAAGTGCAATACCCTGTTCTTTACACTCTTTCCAACTACAAACTTGAATCTATCTCAACTTTTGGGACCTTTCCCTAGGTGGGTTTAAGATGGGATTTTGGGTTTAGAAGGGATATAATGTTTGTAACTCCCCTGTTAACTCAACTTTCTTGGTTCAAAATATGGAGGATGCTAGAGTTTGGTTAGCCTCTCCTGATGGATTTTTTTACTCATTTCTTTATTGCCCTCTTACATTCCAGTACTTCTTTCTTTATTTCTTTAAACACCATCTATCGTGGTCTCTTGGAAGGTTGTTCSAGACTTCCAGTGTAGCATTATTGATTGAAAGTAAATTAAATCATATTTTTCCAGGACATCATTCTGTCAATGGCATAGAACAGTTATGAGAATAAAGTTGAAAGCTTCTAAGTTCATTTTTTTTT